CACTAAAGTGGGTGACCGTTGCTCAATACAAGTATGAGTCAAGATAGGCGATGCAACAAATGGGTGGTTTGCCTTTTTGGTTTTGAATTAAAGCTAACCTAGGTCCTCCAGAGAGAGGTTAGAATAAGGGTACCCTTGTTCTGTGTGGTCTATTTTAGTAGGGGAACCCTCCCTCCAAAAAGGGTGAGACAGGGCACTGGGGGACCTACTAACCTGAAAGCCGAGCCCCGAAAAACCCACGCTGTCCTGAGGGCGTGCGCGATGGCTGCCGTGGCTGTCGAGGTGGACTCGGGCTGCTGGAGGTGTGCTCTGACGCGCCTCATCCAACGAGTCTTTTCGCATCGCAGGGGTGGATGGCCCAGCTAGGGGTTGATTGCCCTTGGATGGTCTGGGAAGAATCGCTAAGTGGGTAGCTTTGCCCTGGTTGTAACCCACCAAAGCCATGGTTGTAAGTCCCCCAAGATCAGGGTTACTAACCGTTTAGCGATTCGTCCCACACCATCCAAGTGGGCGACTCAAAAAGGCATGCCAGGTCCGCCTCGGCGCCGTTGCGGAATCGCCTCGCGCGGTCATTCATGGTCAGCTTGGTGGCTTGGATCGGTGGAGGGTGGGGGGGTGGGTTCCTATCCCTCCAAAGGTGCAAACCTGCAAACCTGTACCTTTCCAGGAAGGGCGAACAGATCTCAGAGCAACAGGCTTCTTTGAAGGATGCATCCGAGTCACCTGATTTGCAACGGGATCCTCCAAATCTGCCGGTATTTGTCTGTGGTGTTTTTTGTTGGTTTTGAAGGGCGCCAAAGGAAAACAGCACTATTTTTGGGGGGGTCGTCCTAGAAAAAGAAAAAAACAAAAAGGCGGACCCATCTCGGCGTTTCCTTTCAGTCCCCCCAGCTCCATGCCCCACCCAACCTCCGCCGAAGTCGGCGTTTCCTTCGGCCTCCAGCGGCTTCTCTTTGCGCGTCCGCGGCGTGACCACGGGCCTCTGATCCTGCGATGGGAGAAGAGAAGCGATCTGAGCCACCCGGAGAAAAAAGAAAAAAGAAAAAAAAAGGAGAAAAAAAAGAGAGAAAAAACACACACACACCACGCCAGGCGGGGATTCAAACCAGGTCTTAGTCCCCTCCAGCTTGAGTCATAATCAAAACCGATCGGTATCAAAAAGGGTCATCAAAAAGTAGACCCGGAACCATGTAAGGAACAAAAAAAAAATGGGCGCCGAAGGCTAAGCTTCATCTACCCCGTAGATCTCCCTTTTGGGAGGCCCATGTTCCGAACGAAACGGGCTTGCATGTTCGGAGTGAACATCATCCAAGGAAACTCTGGAACCAATTGCCCAGTGGATCTCATTTACCACTTTGGCAAGTATCCAGCAATCTTCCTCTTGGTGCTTAAAGGGCGGTTGGTCCATTGGTTGCCTATACAGCTAAACGGATCCACTGGGTTGGCTGTGCCAAATCTCTAAAACGAAACAAGCGAGAAGCTGTTGGGGTGATCCTTCGCGAGATGTTCTGCTTTTGCGCCTGTAAACGTGCGTTGGTTCTCAGGAAATTAACTGAGCCTCCCTTGTGATTTCCTTTTCACCATCCAACTCGTGGTTTCCTTTTCATGGCCTCCTGGGCTCATTCCCAAAACCCTTGGTGATTCCTTGCTGGGAGCAGCAAGTAACAAGGCGTCCACTTTCCAGCGTAGTCTTGGTGAAGACCCGGGGTCCATTTCTTGGTTGCCCGCAAACGCACCGCTGTGTAGCTAACAAAAAATGCGAAGGCCATGCTTGAAAACCCATCATTCCCCCATATTTGTTTGGATACTTTTACCAAACCTCCTGTCTTCCAACCATCAGAGGACATCCAGCTTTTCTGCGCCCGGGCAACACATTGGAAGCCCCTCACGTCCTCCGGCGAGCTCGGAGATGCGGCGCCATGCCTGCGAAAAAGCGCAAAAGCGCCGGGCGCGCCGGGCGCCGGCGGAGAAAAGATTTGCGGTTTGAATCGGAAAGCGAGCGGAACGGAGTTGAATCTGGTTGAACAGCAGCCCACATCGTTGCTTGCATCACCGAAAGCAGCCGAAAATCCAAGTTCCACAGGTGCCCTCTTTGGGCTGCTTTAAAAGGGCAACCGCAGGCCCTTTTTGGGGTGGTTTGCGAGTCGCTCTAAGGACTCTAAGGAGACACACCAGCATTCCACCAAAAAAAGAAATGCCAACAAAGACTTGTTTCCATTAAAGGCCTTCAAGCTTCCATAAGCTTCCGGCTGGTCTGAAGGAGTTCAGGTCAAGTCAAGCTGTGAGCGATGATCTTGGTGTCATGAAGGTGCGAAGGAATCCCCGAAAGATTGGCGCGAGAAGGCGGAAGTGCTTGATTGGCATATGCGATTGGGATGCTTTCTGTGAGCAACAATGGCTCTGTGGTATCGGAACCGGACTACAATAAATGCTTCGATGTTTCCGTGCAATCCTGCGCAGAGCACGTCTTGACCATGGCTGACATTGGTATGTTCCTTGAATCCCAACACCGGCCAGGGCCAAAATATGCAAAATTACTCGCAGTTGACATGCGGAAAATATATGTACCCCTGTGCTCTTCTTCGTGGGAAACTTTCTGAGTCCCCAATAATCCAAGCCCCTTGACAAAATCCACCAAACCGAAGATTTTGATGGGGCTCACGTGCACCCCAAAAAAGACACCCCGCTTTTCAAAGGATCCAACCCCACCCCCCCACCCCCGTTCCCTGTTTCCACAAAACAACACTCTAACTTGCAACCTTATTACAGGTCCCCGTTAAGCATCCCTCCAAAAGGCAACTCACAAATCAAACTGGCAACCAAGAGGTGATGCTTGAAGCCACCCTTGGGGAACTATAGGGACCCCTGTATCAAGGCCGCATTTCACGGAACCGGCGGAGCGGGGAGGGACGCCTGTCGCTTCCGCTACTGTCGGCACGTACAAGGCGCTTGGGCAGGCGAGCACCGCCACCCCCGCCGCCTAGGCGACGTGTACAACATGGGCGACGCATGCTGAATGGAACCATTGGGATGTGGGCGTTGGGTACCCAAGTCTTGTTGGTGTTAAAGGGAAACCAAGGAAAATCACTATTTTGCTGGACCGTGGGTGTGAATTTTAGTGGACCCACTAAAGCTGGCTATCATGATGGGGGTTCATGCGAGGTGGCTCCATACGTAAATTCATTTCTATGTACCCGCTAAAGCTGGCTATCATGATGGGGATTCATGTCCAACCACTCGTGAGGTGGCTCCCTATTTAAAGTCATCATGTACTTTCCGAAGCATGCCTTATCTTAGGGATGTCACAAAACACATGCTGCCTGCTCCTGGACCTGGCAACGCAGAGAATCAACCGCCTTTACCTTTAGGCCGCATCCCATGAGCTGGGCTTCTCTTCAGAGTTGCCGTGTCGCCACTTCACCTTTTCACGCTGTGCCCTTTTATTCATGCTTGCACAAAATGAGAGTCTCACTTGCCCAAAGCACCTGGACATAAAAGGTGATCACCTTTTGGGACCCACCAAAAATGGACCAAAACGGGAACTGAGGAGCGTTTAAATGAGACCCATTTAGCAGTGGCTTGAAGTTTGGTGTCCCTGTCAGCCCTCAAAAGTACCCCCGTTCAGCTGAGCAGCTGCTGGAGCTTGAAGCACGGCTTGCGGCTCCTGTCGTGCGTGACATGCAGCCAACTCAACTCAAAGCAGCGCAGGTGCCAGCTCAACATCTTCAAATACTCACTGGCTGAGTGGATGGCCAAAAAAAGTACCCAAACTTTTTATTTGCCACTGAAATGGTCTTCCAAAAAGTTTAAAGTTCATGAACTCAGGAAGTGAGAATAGGGACCCCCTCACCCCCCAACACAACAGATTAGCTTCTGATGTCTCTCTCAAGACATCCCTAAGGGCAAATCATACGGAGCCAGTCCCAAAGCGGACGTGCGCCAAACAGTCAGCCCATGCTTTGGGCATCGCCTTCGGTCAAAGCCGGCGCGTCGCCCATCCATGCTGTTCTGAAGTGTCACCGGTCGGTCAGCAGCAAAATACCCATTGGTTTCTGTCCGCTGAGTTCTACCTAAAGAAGCAAACATATATTTTGTTCCCACTTGGGCGCACGTGTTGCGACGCAAAGACCTCGAAACGGACAAATGAAATTGGGTCCTTACCGCAAACAGGATTGCCAAAACAAGGCCAGGTGGCATACCCTCAGAAAAGACGCAACCAGTAGCTGAGTAATTTGGATCTTGAGTCGGCGTCATGTCACAGATGCCGAAGGTTGCTTTATGCATTCTGCCCCCAGTTGCCATGGGAGTTTGGTGTGTCATCCCCATGTCATCCCTACGGAAGACTTGGCATCATGTTCCATGGGCTCGAAGCGATTCGAGCCAGAAGGCGGGCTGGAAGGGGCAGGCCTGACACCACAGTGAGCGCCCCTGCCGACAGAGCCAGGGATTTGTCCAAAACTGTAGCCGCCCGGAACGGCGGTGGCAAAAAGCCCCTTGAATCCTGAAACAAATGGCTGTGGGTCAAAAATAGGTACCCAAAATGGAACCCTGGTAAATGGAAACATGGACTTGAACCTGCGGTCCAATTCCTGGTGGTTTAATTTTGACCCATCCCCAAATGGGGGCTAAGCGGCTTGCGTTCTCGCAAACGCATTCCGCGTTTCAGCCGTGCACAGAACTGCCATCTGAAACCCCAACAGTTCTCTGGACACGAAGAATAGCTTGAACTCCTGTGGATGGTTGCGAAATCCATTCGCACCACGAAATGACACCATGGTTGAAACCAGTATTTGTTGGTATTTAAATAATTTTGGTATTACCATTAATAATGAAACCAGTGTTCCAGTATTTGTTGAAACCAGTAATACCAGTATTTGTTGGTTGAAACCCTGGTATTCAAATGGTGTACCCAAACAAATGTAAAGAACGACAAAGGCGGCCGCACCTATATCTGGCTGGGACTTTCTCTTACTAACCTTCACTTATCCGGATTTTGATTCTGGCTCAATTTGATTCAAACCCAAGCGCTCGGCGCAGCGTTTGCGCCGTCAAACTAGAGGCGTCCATCCGCACTCAGGCCCTTGCAGTCGGCTGCCAAGTCCAAATCTCTTGTGGATGCCTATTCATCCCTGGTTTCGTCCGTGAGTTATAACCAAAGTTACAATCCACTTACTAAATGACCTGGGTATGCCTTTTTTTTGGCCCCCCCCCAAAAAAAACAAGGTGGTTTTCCTGGTGGTCCCACTTGAACGCCACCAAAGTAAGGGGTACCCACCTGCCCTCTGAAGCGGCTTCCCTGAAAGCTCTGGTCGCAACGCGAAGCTCTGAGGCTAGCGCTTCTTCTTGGGCCGGCGATAAGTGACACGCGCTCGAGGGACCCTGCCATGGCAATGTGATGAAGCAAAAGCCGTGGGAGGAGTATGCTTTGTCGCGAGGTCTGTTAAGTGCGGGTAGGGTTCCACCGTGTCACGCCATCCTCCCGGAGGAGTGACTAAACAGTGACTAATAGCCGCTTGTAGCCATTTGTAGTCACTTATATCCACTTATAGCCACTCATAGTCACCTATAGTCACGTTGCAACGGCTCCCTTGCGAGTTGACTCTGACACCAGCTTTTGGGGCTTGGGTTTGTCTTCGAACTTTAAACTAACCGTGCCCTCAAAAAAGACCTGACGCCCACATAAGCAGCGGCCAAAACCTATTGATGTTTGGTTCTATAAACATGGTCATGCGTGTTTATACTTCCCATAACTCCCAGGAAACCCTGGTAGGGCCACCCACTAAAAATGTTCTTTTCCCATGCAACCAGGTAGCGCTGCCCACCAAAACGGACAAGAAGACCCGTTTTTGGCAGCCAACTCCCCAAACCCGAAACTATGGAGTGCCAACCAGACCCGGCCTGAGCCCTCTGGGGGGCGACTCATCTGCGCCGATGGTGAGCTCTTCACCCGTCCTCTCAGCAGTCTTTACTGTGGGTTACCTCTCCACCAACCATCTGAGAGGGTTTCTCGTTGGAATTCATAGCCACATGAACATGTGTCAAAATCGGGGACCTCAGACTGGTCTGGGGTCCCTTTTAATCAACACCAAGACCCCTGCAAGCGAACGGAAGGAAACCAGAACGTGTGTAAACCAACCCAGATGCCTCCAAACACGGATGCCTTTTTAAGGCTCCACGTGGACCAGCAGATTCCTACTGTGGATGGTTGCGAAATCCATTTCGCACCACCTAAAGAAACCCTGGTTTCTGATGATTCTCCCGTAAATACCAAGACACAATGGTTTCAACCATGGTATGAGCGTGGGGCGAAATGGATTTTCTGTCCATCCACACTTGGAGTACCCTCACCGCCGAGTATCCTCAGCTGGGACCCCATGGAATCGGGGTTCAAACCGTGCTCTTTTTGGTTTGTCAGGTCCAGCTGAGTGCTCCTTTTGGTTCACAAAACGGCTAGCACTTACAGGTCATGACGAAAGTGGATTTAAGTTGCAACATGGGAGAGGGCACTGGCAAACCACCTGACGTCATGGCTTCCCTTCAAAAAGGGTCTCCGATGACATCCAAACAAAGGAATTCAAGACCAAAGGGTCTCCGACCCTTGAAACAAACAAAGGAACCACGCATGTCAGCTGTGCTCCGTCCTGTAGAAGTGCAGGCGCCGGTCCACGTTGGTGGTGATTGACTTGAAGCGCTGAACCACTGGCTTGAAATCTGCGCGCCGCCTGAAGCCACGAGCAGCGACGAGCATTGCTCCAGTCCACCAAGCGATCGGCCCCCGTTAGAACACATTTGAGCAGCGTTCTAAACTCCTTTGGCAAGGGAAATAACCCCCACACTAAGGTTTACCTCAAGGGTGATAACAATTTCTTTCATTTCCAGGGCAGAACAACCAACCAGAACCATGGGCTTAGAACACTGCTCATTTATCGGGTCCCGTGAAATCCCCGACAGGTTTGCATGCCGAGGCACTTCACCCCATACTTGGAGCGGCGGCTCCTGCCATGCGACAGGGCTCCCAGTTGGGTCCTGTTTGTTGGATCCTGGATATTCAAACTTAGCAGGTTATAACCACGGTTCCAAGCGGGACAACAAGGGTCGGTTGATTTACACTATTTATACCCGCGGTTGGAGTGGTTTTGAAGGGCCCTCAAGTTTCCGTGTAAGACACACCCAGCTTTGGACCACCCCAAGTTCGACTTGACTTAAACCCAGCAAGGCCTTGAGACATCAATTGCCCCTGGGTTTGTATGAGAGAAGTTTGGGTGGGCCTCCCTCCCATGTCCTCCCCAGACTGGGAATAGACTGCCACCTTTTTGTCAATTGAATCAAAACTTGGGAACCCCCTGACACCGGACACCATCCATCGAGGTTCCTCAACATGGAGCCCTTTTTGGCTTGTTAAAGGGTTGTTCATTTTGAGAAACCTCCAGACCGACTCGAGAGAAAGCAAGCCGACCCGCGATTCTTCACGGGAAGCAGGTCGTACTGCCCACGCATGCAGGTGTAGTTGCAGCCTAGCAGAATGCTCCCAAGGAAGGCTTGACCCCAGCGAGGTGTGGGGCTGTGTATTTTTCCTGGAGCTAAGTGAGGATCAAGCTTGTAGGTGCTATTTTGAGACATATCAAGGCTCGGCGCCTATCAGTTCTCGTCTTCGTCCACCTCTCACCATCACCACGGAGTGGACCTGTGACACTCGAACTCAGAGGGCGACGCAATGGGCTAAAGGTGAGTGGCTAGTAACCGGCAAATAATCCACAGAGACTGAATGGGTAAATGGGTGATTTGCCCAAACCAATGGTGCTTGTCATACGTCGCCTTCTGTGGATTATGCGGGTTACTAACCAAGCTTCCAGTGGATGGTCGAAATCCTGCACCACCTAAAAAGCCCCGGAATGATGATTCCCCTGTAAATACCAACAAACAATGGTGTCAACCATTAAAAAGACAAACTGGTGCAGGATTATGTCCATCCGCAGTATGCCGGCCACTCGTTGCCTGAAGATTATGGCCGATGCCCGGAATGTAGGCCTACCAGCACGTGAAGACGTGTTCCGGAAGCATCAGGTGTCGAACAGTACACGCCTTGATCACGCGTCCATTGGAGAGGCGTACGTAACAAACCTGAGCAGTGGCCAAGGATCTGCGTCTCAAGAAACAAGTGGCGCTTCAAAGACCACCTCTTTGCATTTTGCTTGGGGTGGAGTTCCTCTCCATTGCACGTTTGCCAACCACCAAACATTGGAACTCGCAGGGTGTACTTGTCTTGCTGGCGCTCAGTAGGGAATGAGGGAATGGCCCTTGTAAAACCCATCCAGCTGGTGATTTCCTTTCAGGGGACCCAAGCCCGGGCTCATTCCAACATTCCCGACCAATTTCGCACCAGCGCAACTTGCTCAAGCCCTCCAGCCCTCCAGCCACCCCGGCCCTCAGCCCTCAGCCGGCCTTCCGAAGTCCGGAGTTCGGCTTCTTCGGGTTCTGGATGAACACCTCCGTGGGACAAATTTGGGCCAGGGTCTTGGATGCTAAGGCAGAATCCGACCAAGAAGCAAGTACCTCAACCTGTCAACCTCCATCCAACCAAAAGAGGTAGCCAGCCCTTAGATGCTAACTGGATGCTAAGAGTCAACCTCCATCCAACCAAAAGAGGTAACTTCCATCGGCCCCACCCGCCAAAGCCTCATGCGGTTTGGGCGACGGCTACCATCCCTTGTGCGGGGTTGCGGTTGTTTTGTTTCTCGGGGACCTTCCCTGAGGTGTTGCATGGTATCTATGGGAAACAGAAGGACCCCACTGGGAAACATAAGGACCCCACTGGGAAGCGTCAGGACCCCAAACGACTGTCACCAAAAATGCACCTCCCAACACCAACCAAAAAAAAGATCTAGCAACCTATCCCATGCTCCCACCCGCTTGGAAAGGAACTGGGTCGTTCTTTTGTCCGCGCAATCACCCCGCACCCGATGGGAGCCTTGGTGCAGACCCCCTTCCGGTTGGCAGCGCCCTCCAGCCACTTGGACCGGGGGTTGAACTTCGAGGTGGGGACCTGAAATCGTCGGCCGACAAGTTCGGGGGAGGGGGGCCATGGTTGAGGGGGGGCTACCTGCTCAAGGACCCTTCAATAAGAATCGATTCCCCAATCCCACTAGAACCGAAGAAGGCAACTAAGTGATAGGGTTCCTCCCTAACCATAAAATTAAGGCCAAATGCAGGGCTTATCAACTTTGGTTGGGATAGGCTACCAACAAAGCTCCCCAAAGCCTTGGATGCTAATGATTGGATGCCAACCTCTCCTTTTCCCCGTGATTTTGCAGGGGTTCAAACCGGGGTCCGGGGTTTTCAAAACGGCCCCGTTTTGGACCCCCTGGCCGTGGCACAAGTCATCGCAGTCCCAGGAACCCCCCCCCCCGATTTTGAACAACCCCCCGGGCGCAGACAGCTGACTGAGTAAATCAACCACCCCCGGATTCAAGTCTCACAGAATCCAACATGCGCCACTTCGATTTCAGTATATGTTGCCCAGTGAACAAGCAAAGCTCAATGTTTTGTTCCCTTCTCCAAAGGAAAAACGCGTGTTTCGTTCTCGCCGAGGCGAAAAAAAATCCTTCTCCATGTGCCGTGTGTTTCGGTGTCGGCCGTGTTTTCCGAACCCGTTCGCCCGACTCAGCTCAGCTTCCGGGACCCGGGCCATCTTGGGTCGCCGCTTGTAGAACAGCCGGCCCGCGAGATTCCTCGCAACGTTGCACGTTATTGGAGCCCAAAACCAGCGCGAATGGAGGAAGAAAAAGGAAAACTGCCCTGGCGGGCAGTCTTCTTGTTGGGCTCCAACTTGATTTCCAAGGTAACTCTTCCGCTTTGGGTTCACTCAGGCGCCGGCCGTGTGGAGAACTGCCGCACTTCCAACCGCCGCGGCTGCCAGGGCGAAGGATGCACCAGCGGCGCCAAGCTCCGCGCCGGCGGCGCGGGCGCGGAGGGCGCGGGCGCGAAGGGCGCCCCGGCGCCCGGCGCGGGCCAGAGTCTTTGCGCCGGAAACGCGGGCGCCCGGCACAAACCGCCCGAGAGCTGCGAAGCAAAGCGCCGGGAAAGCGACATCATGGCGCGCTGCATGGGTTTCTGGACTGTATGCAGATTCGTCGCCTTCGAAGGGCTGGAGTTCTCTCTTGTGATGTGCTTCCATGTTCGCATCTCTGGTTCGCCCCAATGTCTCCAGTGTCTCCAGCGCGTGTGGCCCTGGCTCAGCTCTCCGCCAAATGATTGCAAGAGCTCGAGGCCTTCTGCCGCGGCCTTCCACGAGCAAGTCCTGTTCCTTCGCAACGCCCTCAGAAGAGCACATGGCTTGGCAGGTTGCGAAAACAAATAGGTGGAACCTCCCTTCTCTCTTTATGGCCTGAAACTTGCGTCGCAACAGCTGGTTTATTTATCCCACAGTTCCATCCAGGTGCGAAATGGACAAAACAAGGCTTGAAGCAAAATGGCGACACCTTCGGGTGATTTCTTGGGTCGGCTGCAAAATGCCTTTTGAGCAGGTCCCCAGCCGGAGCCTCCGTCTGACCAAGGTATGACCGGCCATGCGCCCGTTTCACCCAAGCTGACCTTTGGTTTTTTCGGCCTCACATTTTCTGCCCTCAAACTAACAAAGGGGAATCGAAGCGTTCAAAAGGGTCCGGATGATTCGAGAAGCTTCCCATCTAAACAAGTTGCCCGCTCTTTTTCCAACATGGCCAATCCAGCTTCCGGCTCGAATCGCCCCTGGAAGGTGCATGGGAATTGGTTTTGGGTGCCAGCCTCACTGAAATTCCCTGTGATCCTAAGAACCGGAAATTTTGGCCTCACTATTCCCTTCAAAACCAGGTGAGTCACAACCAAAACCTGGTATTAAAATGGTCTACCCAGAAGCATGTAAAGGAATTACGAAGGCGGCCGCAGCAATTCATGGCCGGGATTGTTCCTTACTAACGTTCATCTACTCGCGTTCTGGTTGTGGCCCAGGTTTTAGCCACCGAGCCCCTTCCGCCGCCGGCTTTTCTACTTGAAGGGATCCAGCAGGCCCCGCAGCACCTGATCCCCGCTGCGCCGCACGTCCGCCACCAGCCGCACCAGCGCCAGCTCTCTCGCCGGCCCGGGCGCCTCGTCCGCCAAAAGCCGGGCCTCCCGGGGGGCAGCGTGGAGGGGGGAGGGGGGGGGCGGTCGGTTTATGGGGCAGCGGGGGGGGGGGGGGGGGGGTGGGGTTGGTTTATGGTTTCGGAAGAAGAGATGCAATACTTACACATCAAAAAGGAGCAGGGTACTCAGTAAGTGGCTAGTACCCGTGGTACCCCACTTGCCATGGTTGTAAGTAACCGATTATTTCCCATGGTTTCTTTCCACTCCATGGCTACTAACCACCAAGCGCGAAGTTCCCTGCCCCTTTACATCTCCCGCCATGCCTCCAACAGCCCCAAACTCTCCAGCGCCGGCTGGGGCAAGGCCAGCACCGGCTGCCAACTGGCACTGCTCGCCCGCAGGATCTCGATCCGCTCACCTGGGATTCCAACAAACCAAATTAGGACCAACCGAAAAGAACAAAAAATAACTCGGCACCAAATGACACAGAAACGGGCCGCGTCCCAAACCCCCTCAAGATCTCGAACTCACACCGCAACAGGTCCCTCAGATTTCGTCCCCCGCCGTTTCTCGACACCTCCGCGGAAAGTGCCATTTTTGGACAAATCCCAAAACGGTCCCGCCGTTTTAGCGACCACTCCCCTTCTCGGTTGCTTTCTGCTCCCCTGCTAAAAGTTTAACTCTTAGTGGTTGAATGCACCAAAGCCTTGGGCTTCGTTTTTGCCGCCCCCAGCCTTCGCTTTCGCTTTGGCTTTCGCTCGCATCCAGCGTCAGCTCCACGGGGAGCTGGTGATGCACCAAATCCGCCACGAAGCGCAGCTCCCAGTGCGCCTTCGGCAGAGCTCCTGCGGTCACCCGGCAAGAATGCGCGACCACACCCAACACGATGCTCATGTTGACACACACACACACACACACAAACATTCAAGAACAAAAAGAAAACCTGGTCCAAATGATGTCCAACCAAGAATCAGCTCCCGTCAAATTGGCTTGGATTGGTGGTTTGGAGGCGTGGTTTCTCATGTACCCTTGGCAAGAAACGGGATTCAAATTCCCACCCATCCAAACCGGCAATTCAGGGTTCCCTGGCCATGGGCGGATACCTTCAGAAAACAACACCAAAACATATCCAACCCCTCAAAACGCCACCGACCCCCCCCCCAAAAAGAAAAAAAAACAAGCCCAGCCCAACAGCCCCGCAACCTCCTGGAACCCTTCCGGAACCCTCCCTGAAAGCTGTTCCGAACCACCCCAGAGCCTATCTGGGCCTATCGACCCCAAAGCTTCAACTGTTTGGGAAAATTGCAAAGACAAACACTTCGGAAAACAACACCCCGCCCCCAAAACCCAAAAAACACACCACCCCCCCGAACAAAAAAAGAGAAACAAACGAAGGGCGCGAAGAAAGCCCCGCCTCCTCCCGTGGCTCTGAAGGCGATCTCCAGCTGCAGCGGCGCGTCCAGCGCGCACAAGCCGCAGGGCTCCACCGCGACCCGCAGCACCTTCCGCGCGGTCACGCGTACGCGGGCGGCAGGAGGCTGGGGGGATGGGGGGGGGATGGGGGGGGGGGTGGGGGGGGGGGGGGCGGGGGGGGGGGGATTGGGCGGGGGGGGGTGGGGGGGGTGGAAAAAGCGAGGCAAACATCTGCGGCCTTCTGAGTTGTCTCGGCACTCATCGCTCGAGTCGCTGGAGTTCCCCTACAGTTGATTAGTTGACTGGTTGCGTCGAGTCGCTACTACTTAGGTCCAAAAAAGAGGGGAAATTCAGGACAACATCCAACAGACACAAGGCCCCTTTGAAGCGAAACGAAACACAACTTGTTTCAACAATGATGGTGCGTTTTGTATCTGCCCTCAGAGCTTGCCACACAAAGTCATCAATTATAGTTCACCAACAGAAATTCTAGTTCTTCGTTTAGTTAGCTTTTGGTTGAAGGATCCTTGATTTAAAAACCTTCATGATGGGGCCCAAGCCAATTTTCCCGCAATCTTTGAGCTCCGCAAAGTTCTTGCAGATGACTGACTCAGGTTTGCGGCTGAGTCATGTGCCCTCCACAAAAAGGCTCAGACTTTGGAAATGACGAAATGAGAACAAGCTCATTGGTTGCCACCCTGTTGACTTCTTATACCAACATGATTGTACAGGTAGTATGCTTTTTTAGGGGTCCCCCAAAATCGAATTCGGTTTGCCCTTTTGGTATTGCTTTAAAATCACCAAACAAGGGGGTACCCTCAACACAAGACAGACCCATATGCACCATCCTCAAAACTTACCTACGACGTGGTCCATGGTCATGGGCCCCCTACACGGACTGACGATCCTAGCCCAAGTTGTGGTTTTACCATGGCATGGGCCCAGTCAAACCAAATCATAAGCCCCACAAAACACATAAAGCCAAACAATAAGTGCAAAAAAACAGACAAAGACAAAAGCAACCAAGCCTGAAAGCCCCACACACACATACACAAACACGCCCGAAACAAAATGGACAGCGAAGGACTCGGGCGCCTCCACCATCGCCGGAGGAAAGCAGAAATCGCCAAATCGCCAACTGTGGTTGCTTCTGTGTAGGGGTGGGGGTTTATCTTTTTCTTGAGGTTTCAACCCGTGGCTCAACCATGACAGTTTAGACCTTGCTCCACAAATATGGGTGTCCATTTTTGGTGGTGTTGAATGCAAACCAAAAGGAAACCACGCATTGTGGGCTCCCACCCATGTGTTGTTTTCCGCGGTGGTAGGCATCCTCCAGGGCTCCAAGTGTGGGAGGACTCACGCTGTTCGGTCGCCTTTTGACTTTCAACCTGAACTAGTCGCAGTTTGGCTGCCTTTTTAAGTGTGCGAGTTCAAAACCAACTCAACAAGCAAAAGTCCCTGCTTCCGGAGTTATGGGAACCTGCTTCCCCCAATGAACATCTCAAACCTCAAAACGTAGAATGCAGGCCACTAAGGTGAATACACGCTGGCAAGCGAGCGAATGTCCAGGCTTACCTTTTTGATTGGGGATTCGTCTTCAGTCTCTGCAAAGCTGTGAGCTGCAGTGCGACAACCTCTTTGCAGCACAATTCAACTATCTTGGACATGGGTATGAGCTTCAATTGGGACCCGTTGGCATCATTTATCTGGGAGCTTGTCCGCCAAACATTCTGAGGGTGTGGCCCAGTAAATTCACAGCCTTCCGCGTTCGATTTCTGGCAGCGCGATGATGTCTCACGAGCATTTACGGCTTGGCTCTCAAGAGGCTGACATCAAGGTCGTGAGATGCTCTGGACAAGCTGGAACCCGGGCCTTCAAGTGATCCATGGATGGTGACAGGCAGCAAACTGAGAATGCCGTCAAACACTACGCTTCACAACCAGAGCGCTCTGAGATACCAAGTATTTACAACTTGCTTGCTGCTGAACCTTGCCGCAACTTATGCCATCTCTTAGCAACGGAATGCGCCAATTCCCTTGGAATACTGAATGCAAGAAATGCAGGGTCTCAGGCTAGCATGCAAGAAAGCCATCTAGGGATAAAGGTGATACGAATAAATCCCATCTCACTCGAAGGCTTCCTCCAAGGGATCTGGCGGCAATTCGTTCTCCTGACATTCGACTTCCGCGGCACCATCGGTTGCTCAAGAACTGGTGGGTGACCACCCACCCCCCCAAACGAAAATGATCTGTGCCACTAAAGCATCCTCCACAACATCACCCAACGCAGCAGCGCCCGGAACATGGGCAGAGGAACAGCTCCTTCTTTCTCTTCTCGAGGGCCTCCTCGTTTTCTTTCCTCTGGACCTCAAATACGAACGCTCCCAGGTTGATCCAGCCCCTTGTGTGCAAAAGACTTGTTCAAAATGGGGGATCTCTAATCTTAATCCGGTGGGAGACCAATACAAGGGATACCACTACCCTCTGGCAACGGATTGATTTTGAACCTTGTTTAAAGAATCTCCCGTTTCCACTTTACAGGGGACGAGGAGGGCAGGCTGTTCAATCAAATTTTGCCCAACCCGGCTCGCCACCCTGAGAATGAATGCCGACCGCATCTATCACCGCAAGCCAAGTGGCATAAGGATTCTTGAGCAACTTCCGCGCCTGCCAATGAGCTGGCTGGGTTCCACTTTGTTTGGGGAAAAGGGTCGAGCATCGAGCATGGCCACAAAAACGACTCACTGCGCAAGGCCTGAACCCGCAATGCCGTTGGAGACATGTAGTGCGGATTCAGATACCTGAGGACTACACGATAGGGTCACTGGCATCCTCAGGCAAGTCGTGTTGTTTCATTAACAGATCCGCCAGGTTGTATTGGGGGTGTCCCATTGAGGGAATCCTTCGCTGGACGAAAAAAACAAAACAAAAAAATCAAATCAATCCAACGGATTGATTCATCCGAAATGGAGCTGAGGGGAGAGCAGCGTTTGTCCGTTGAAGCTCCCGCCGAAGATTCGGATCGGGTCCAGGACAAAGCGCGGACCTATCTCTGTGAGAACCTGCAGGGCAAAGCGAGTGTGCATTTTTGAGGCCGCCCTGCTGACCTTAGGTTTGATAGTAAACCAAAGGAAGACCACGTGGTTTTGGGCGGCTCTGAGGTAGGGCTCCGTGCAAGGTTCCGGGGCGGTTCCTAGAAGGTGCGCGGGGTCGTTCCGAGAAGGATTCCAGGGAGAAAAAGGTTTTGGGGATCGAGGTGGTTCCGAGAAGGGTTCCGGTAAGGCGACAACCCGAGCTCTGGCGATGCTTGCCGTTGGGGGTATCGCTTCAGCCCATATATATATATATATAGATATATATGTATATATATAGAGAAAGAGAGATGTACATATAATATATATAATAATAATAATAATAATAATAATAATAATAATAATAATAATAATAATAATAATAATAATAATAATAATAATAATAATAATAATAATAATAATAATAATAATAATAATAATAATAATAATAATAATAATAATAATAATAATAATAATAATAATAATAATAATAATAATAATAATAATAATAATAATAATAATAATAATAATAATAATAATAATAATAATAATAATAATAATAATAATAATAATAATAATAATAATAATAAATAATAATAATAATAATAATAATAATAATAATAATAATAATAATAATAATAATAATAATAATAATAATAATAATAAAATAATAATAATAATAATAATAATAATAACAATAATAATAATAATAATAATAATAATAATAATAATAATAATAATAAAAATAATAAAAATAATAATAATAATAATAATAAATATATATATATATATATATATATATTTGCGGGGCGCCCCCGGCTTCGCGTGGCTGGAGACTTTCTCGCCCTGGCCTGCTTCTCTGGCTTATTGCCATCCTCTGGCGTTTCGGGCGAGATCTGGTAGTGCCGAAACCTCGGGCGACTCGGGCGCCGTGTGCTTTCGAAATAACTACTCCGTTCGTTCACGCAAACTTTTTGCCATGCGCATTGCCATGCTCCTCCTACTTGGTAAGTGGGTGCATGCTCATCCTACTTGGTAAGTAGGTGGTAATCATAGTTAGGATTTTTTGCCATGCTCCTCCTACTTGGGAAGTGGTAATCATAGTTACGAATCGGCTAACCCTCGTCCCACTTGCAACCGTGGATATGAATCTACTGACCTAGCTTGAACATCCTGTGCCCAGACGTTAAAATAGGGTACCCCCCCACCCCACCCACCCACCCACCCCCTAAAAAGGGCTTTGTTGTGCCCCTCTATAAGGTTCCTCAACCCCGAAACGGGCACCGAAGCCACGTTTCATCATCCAAGCATCGCATCTTCTGAGCTTATCCATGCCTCAGGCCACGGCCAGATCTTCCTGTCCAGCCTGTCTCACAAAGGACACCAAGGACCAAGCATGACTTGGGTTCCCCTTTCAAGGCCCCAACGCGCGCGCACACACAGAGACACAGAGACACACAAACAAACATACAGAGACACATGCCACGATTCCTCTCAAACGAAAAAACACGCACCCATCCAGCTCCGGGGAGGTCCGCGGACCACCAACTGGGAGGGCTACTTCTCCGGCTTCCGGGCAGCTTACTTTTCGGTGTTTGACCCAAATGTGCCTCTTGGACGAGGCCTATGCTTCAGGTGTGGATCCCCTGCGTTTCCGGGGCACGGGAAACGAATTAGGACTTGAGTGGAGCGGGCTCTACGGGCAGTTGCAGGCACGGTCACGCTGCTGTTGTTTACGTCCCTTACTTGCAGCCTTGTTCACGTCCCTTACTTAAAGGGCAGGGTACCTAGTAAGTGGGCAATAATCATGGTTTTAACCCACTTACCATGGCTTAAGTCTCCTAAGTGGGTTCTAACCAGGCTTACTAACCACTTCCTGGGCACCCTGCCCCTTTAAGCAGGTCCTCTTCAGGCACATGCACTTTGCGCAGAGCTCATGGCCTCCTGCTCTGGCGCGGTTGGTCCCACTCTCGCCCCGAGTGGATCAGACCGATCTTCCATGAATTTGGACACGCGCCCCTGCATTTGCACGTGGTGCCTGGGAGGCCGTGAATATTCTGCGGCAGCTTCCGCTTCCGTGTTTGCGCGCAGCGTGGATAGACATCATAATGGTGGTAGGGACAAACACATGAATACCTTGAACCGGATTTCGAATACAAATCAAATTATATAGCAAACCTAACTGACCATAAGCCACAAGCTATTTCAACTGTTACGTTGGCCGAGTTGCCATTCATTATCTGTCTTCTTCGCCTTCTGTTTTTTCTGTTGTTTCTTCTTCTTCTTCTGGTTATTGTTATTCTTTCAACAATGTCTATCTTGTTGTTCATCACAGTATGGTTCATGTCCTGTACATGTGTACCCTTGTTTCGAGCCTCGAATCAAGATATCAACACAACGTAATCCTGAGATTCGTCTTGGTATAGATTGATCATTCTATGTACGGCTCCCATGCTAACAATCATTGATGAAGATAAATAGAACTATAATCATGTATGCCAGTATAGCGGTTACTTATGGAGAATGACATGGGATGGAGAAGCTGGGAATGGATGCACCTAACCAAATATTAGCATGCTGGTGCATCCAGATAGATATGCCATGCCTTCACTCACCTCTTCCCTTCATTCACGGCTCGCGGGCAATAGACAAGAGACGCAGAAGGTGGAACAAGGAGGGGGAGACCTGGCATACGCCACCCATTCCCTTCCTTATGTCCTAGCTCATAGCGGCTTCTCCTTGCCTCTCCTACTGTGGATGGACAAACTCCGTTCGCAACAGTAGGTGGTTTATCCAATCGTTCAGAGGGTTTCATTTATCCCAAGTGGTGCAGGATTTCGCCCAGAATGACGGATACACATTCATGTCCTGTCTATCCCTCGCTCGATTCCTTTCCTGGCATTTGTTGTTGGCCACTTGATTCTTTGTGAGGCCTCAAATCACTCTTTCCTCTCTTTCCTAGTTGTTGCTGACTCATCTCTGAGATGGATGGGGATGGGAAATGGATGAGGCAAGCCAGGATCATATTCTCCTTTCATTGTCCGATCCTGCTGTTACCTTTAAGGACCTAACAAATCAACT